TTTTTTTTTTTTTTTTTTTTTTTTTTTTTTTTTTTTTTTTTTTTCGTTAAGTTCTCTGACCATACAATTTATGATAAAACTCTCACAAGTAGAAGTGGACTTCGTTTTCTGTCAAAATGGGAATTCTAGAGGTAAGCTACGTGAGGGCTGCTCTTTTTTTTTTTTTTTTTTTTTTATGCGTTCCCCATTTGTACACCCATAATGGCTTTCTTTTTTTTTTTTTTTTTTTTTTAAAGAAAATGAAAGAGATAGAGGCCGAGATGGCCAGGACCCAGAAGAACAAGGCGACCGAAGTAAGGGGGACGAGCACTAGCCGTGTCACATCGCCTTGTAGGCTGTTCTGTTCTCCCTCTTCTATGTCCTGCTGTGTATCGCTTTTTTTTTTTTCGCATCCCTAACCGTGTAAGCTCTACCCCCTGTCTGGCTACCTCACATGCGCATCCCTTTTTTTTTTTTTAGTACCACTTGGGACAACTGAAAGCTAAACTAGCCAAATATCGGTACATAGATGCGGACATGGGGTCCCCATTTTTGTCTTAACAAAACAAGGCCAACGACACCACGAAGGAGACCCCTAATCCTCTTCACGTGAATACACACCTCAGCAGTGCTGAATGATGCTGCCTTGTTACGTACACATTTTAGCGCCGACCCAACTGGGAGCCGCAATTTAAAACACCTTTATTGAAATCACCTTACCTTAGGTCACAGCTGTTGGAAGCCCCCAAAGGAGGGAAGAAAGGGGAAGGCTTCGACGTGCAACGGTTAACATGATGAGAGATATATATAAAAAATAAATAAAATAATAAATACATAACCAATATATATACATCGCCTAAACCATTGCGCGCATGACTCACGTCACTGTCTTCCCTCTTTTCAAATTATAGACAAGGCGATGCGCGAATATGCCTAATCGGATTTCCCTCAGTTGGAAAATCAACGCTATTATCAAAAATAACCAGCACAACGTCGGAGATAGCTGATTATGAGTTTACCACCTTGACCTGCAAGCCAGGTATTATTCGTAAAAAAAAAAAAAATGATCTCTCATTGAAGAGGGGAGTGTAGTTATTACAGATTGGTGAAAGATTCGGGTTCACCACAAAAACGCATGCCCATTCACTACCACAATCGTGAGTACTACAATTTTCTCGTAGGAATAATAAGTTACAAGGATGCAAAAATTCAGCTGCTGGATCTTCCTGGGATAATTCAAGGGGCTTCAGAAGGCCGTGGACGAGGGAGACAAGTGCGCATACGAAAACACACACATATATATACATATGTGTACATACGTGCTTATATGCATGGAGTGCCGACGTCGTACGTCGCATCGATACATAACATGAGTAAAATGTTTTATTTCAGCTTCTTCTGCTTTTTTCATCTCTTCCCTCCTCCAGGTTATAGCTGTTGCCAAGTCGTGCGACATGATTATGATGATACTAGACGCAACGAGGGATAATAGTCAAAAAATAAAATTAGAAAAGTAATTTCTTTTTTTTCTTTTTACAACCCTACATAAGTAGTGTGTGACGTACCTATGGACAAATTAACATTGTTTGTTCCTCCCCCCTTTACCTTATCCAGCGAACTTAAAGCTGTGGGCATACGAATAAACCAAGATCCGCAAAGGGTAAGGGCAAATATAAAGGAGAAAAAAAAAAAAATGCACAAACTGCTAGATCTTTTTTCATCATTCTGCAGTATGCCTATGCTTATTATAATGTATATCATTTTAGGAAACTATTCCAATTTTATCGATTAATTTATTTTATTTTTTTTTTTTTTAATTTTTTTAGATCACATTGACAAGGAAGAAGACCGGCGGTGTTGTTATAAATAGCACTGTCCCCTTAACAAAGGTGAGCTGTCGGAATAAGTCTTCCCTCAACCCGTGCACATATTAACGACGAAGCGTGATGGAGTGTATGTGTGCTCGCCCCCCATTTGGGACGTAATCCCATTTTAATAATTCCCACCTTTCCACCCCCCCCCAGCTGGACAACAAGCTTATAATGAGCATCCTTCACCAGTACAAAATACACAACTGCAATTTGCTCTTCAATGAAGATGCAACGGTAGGAAGTGGATGTGTGCAGATTGCGCTCGAGTGCGATTATTCGTAATTCAGCATTAAATTTATTTCATTTTTTTTTTTGTTTTATAACACACAGGTTGACGATCTCATTGATATTATTGAGGGCAACCGAAAGTACATTAAGTGCATTTATGTGTACAACAAAATTGATATGCTGCCCTTGGACGAAATTAACACCATCGCCTCCGGGTAAGGCAGATATGCTTCCACGTTAAATACGCATATGTGTGCATACACTTTTCTGTGTGACGAAGGAGCAATTCCTGTGTAGACGTGTGCATATACAAACAGGTACACACCTCTTTGTCTGCGTATTTTACACACCCGTGCCGACTGCGCCCCCTTTTCTTTGCAGCGAAAACACGGTGGTGATAAGTAGCAGCAAGTCGTGGAATTTGGACGTGCTAAAGGAGTACATTTTTCAGAAATTGGAAATTATTCGCGTGTATACCAAAGTGCGCAAGGAAAAACCTGACTTTACGAATCCGATTACGTTAACTAGGCAACGGGGTGAGACCCTACGAGGGGATAACTTAATAAAAAGTTCCACCAATCGGTGTTGCATCGAAGCAGCGTTTGCGTCCAAACGGTGTGGGGCAAGGAACCTACAAGATGATAAATTTGGTCCATTCCCCTTTGCCTTTTTTTTTATTTCCATTTCTACAGGAAGCCAAACTGTGGAGGCCGTGCTTAACCAAATTCATAAAGTAATTCGGCAGCGTTGATAACTGTACCCACTGTGTTCCCTCCATTTTATGACATGTGCCAACGCTCATAAATACCAGTGCCATTCTCGTTTTTTTTTTTTTTTTAGGACATGATTAAGGATTTTAAATTTGCACTCGTTTGGGGAAGAAGCACAAAGCACAATCCGCAAAGAGTAGACTTACGTATGTCAATAATTGATTTGTACATGCTTGTGCGAGCAGTTGCATGTGTCCGGTAGCTCATTTGTTTGTGTGCAGACCACGCATAAAAGTAGCTGTGTGCTGATATGTGAACATTTGCCCATTTGTACCTTTGCTCATTTTTTTTTTTTTTTTTT